CGTACAGAGCTTTTTCAGATCTCTAAATTATGTGGAATTCATGAAGACACTTGTTTTCCATTCAGGAATGTGTTAGGTCTTAGTTTGCCTTCTCCACCATTCCTATGAAGTGTATCATCATTTAATAAAAGTTTAGGACAATGATATATGTGCTAGAGGGAGTTTTTGAGATTTGTTTGGAGAGAAGCATTGGACATTTTTGGCTTTTTGATTAGGTTACTATTAAGGTTACCATTTGAGGGAGGCAGATAAGAATCTTATATTTGGGTTTTTTTAATGACTCTGATGGCCTTACTTTGTTCCTGGTCCTTGGTTTTAAATTTCTCTCTTATTATATCACGTTAAAATAACAGTAAAGTGGCAAAATCAAGCACTCCAAATTTAAGCACTTAATTTAGAAAATTTCTGAATTAAGATTGTCTGCGAAACCTTAATTTGGCTCTTTTTTCTGTATGTGTTATGATATAATATTTAATTATATAATCACAAATTACTTTCTTAGCAGAATCCCTGCCTCATCCTGTGCACTGGATAGATGGTAATCACTTAATGAATAACAGTTAGATGTACTTATACATATCAGACTTCATGGACTCAAATTGGGCACCCAGAAAATAAGTAGCAATCAATTAATGACCATCTGTGAAAGTTAAGTGACTTCTCTAGTATAAGATAGGAACTCCATGGCAGAGGCAGAAATAGAACTAGTTTTCCATGCAGCAGTCAGGTGCCTTGACTGTGAGACTATCATTTCTCTTTATTCAGTCACTACACACTTTCCAATTTCTGAAACATATGAAGCCACGGTCCTGGACAGTATCCTCCAGTACACAGCCCTGATTTATTCCTAGAGAAAGCTCATCTTGTGCACTAAATTAGGCAGGTGTCTCTAGGAAAAATATCTGGTCATATAATTAGAGACAAAAACCATATGCCCAAGCGTACCTAATTAAGACTTCAGAAGCTAACTTTCTGTGTTCTTGACTTTGCAACTTATTTGTCTTGTATTTTCCAGATTTTTAAAAAAGAAAATTGAAAAAAAAATACTATTATGTGTCTTCATTATTGATATCCAAGTGGTTTGTCAAAAGGATTAGAACCTCTAGATTAGTGCTGGGCATCCTGGAGGACCAAAGGTGGAATCCCAGTGCTGCAGGCTGCTATGGCCCACTGAGATGGAGAGCCACTTGTGGCCCACTCACTGTTCTTAATGTCCATCACTGCTCTAGATCGCCAGCACAGACCTCTGCCACTGAAACCAACAGAGTAAATGATAGCAGTTAAGGATGTTTAATTGCAGTTAATTGACTAGTCGAGTAGTCGATAGGCACTTCCCCATTCCTCCTTTGAAATGTACACGCCCTACCGTGGCTCTTGTACATTTCAAAGAAGGAATGCGGAACTCCACGTACAGCGTAGGGCCAACGGGAGTCCCACTGACTCTGGGCTGCATGCAGGTACCTGCTTTGAAATGTACAAGAGCCGCACTAGGGCATGTACATTTCAAAGTCATGGAGCCCGGTGGGTTCCGTGTGGCATTTCAGTGGAACCCGGAATGAGCTGGGGACTCCCCAGCTGACCCCAGGCTCCACGGCTGCCCCTTTGAAATGCGGAGGCAGCGTTTCAAAGGGGCAGTGCTGTGAAGCCCAGGGTTAGCTAGGGACTCCCCGGCTGACTCCGGGTTCCATGTGGAATTTCCCTAGGACCCGGGGTCAGCTAAAGAGACCCCCAGGCTCCACGGTGCTGCCTGTTTGAAACACTGACGTGGCGTTTCAAAGGAGCAACTTCAGCACAGCTGATCCCTGGCTCTCTCAAGAATAGCTCTTACTCTGATTAGCATAATTTATCAGATAACATTCATATTTACTCTAGAATGATCGGTTTCATTTTATAAGGGGGACAGTCTTTTTTTAGCAGTTTTTGTGTGTGGCAGAGACTAAGGAGTTTAGTAGGTTCCAAGTTCTTTGCCTATTGAGGATGATGAGTGAAGTGAGAGTCATCCTCTGAGAGACTATTCTGCTTGTTGCTGAACAGTTATTTTATAGTGGTAAGCAACTGATATTTTTTCTTGCCAATTATTTCCTATTTGGTGAAGTAATAACTATATATTCATCAGAATGAGGAAAGATAAAATTATACTAGCCCTGGAAAATAATTATCACATTTTAATAGTAAGGAGAATAGTTGCAAATTGTGGGCCAAATCTTGAAACTGTATGGAAACCTCCAACTTTTTTTATATCAAGGGTAGTTGTTGGTAATAACAACTGTCAGTAGTTGGTCCTGTGCATTGTTGTTATATTTCTTTATTTGAAAGTTACTTTTGTTGCTGGGAAATGTAATATATCAGAAATAAAAAAATATTTGCAGATTGTAAATAGACATCCGCCTTTTGGAAACCAAATAAAAGAATCTGTGCTACACCTGCCAAAATATGCACTTGCTATTGAACAGGTAAATGCTTCCATTTGCTTTCCTGAATAATGCTTTTTATGATTGTTTTGCTTTAGAATTCTGCTAGAATAATGAAAATAGAACATTTAAATAAAATATTACATATTAAATGTTTAAGTCCCCCATTAGGAATATGAATCTAGACATGCATCCCTTCAGTCTTGCCATGTGTTGTTAAAAGTCCTGTTGATTTAAATTATACGTATTCTGTGTTCCTAAGATTATTCTTATGACTTCTGTATTAGGGATGTCAATGTATAGTCGACAATACGATTAACCAATAAGCCTAGGCTTATCAGTTAATCTTTTTGACTAACACATTTCCCTCCCCTTTCTCCCTCCCCCCCCCCCCCCCCCCCCCATTTCTTA